AGAACAGGAACAGATGCGACGCACACTTGTAGCAAACTTGGAGCAAGCAGGGCTTGCTTGCGGTGTGTGCGTGTGCGTCACAACCGGCGCCTACGGCTGTGCGCATGTTGATACGCATCGCAGGAGAGGAGGGAGAAACAAATCGAGCGCACCGATACACAGAGAGAGAGAGAAGACGGACAGACAGACGGACAGACAGACAGACAGACAGACAGACAAAAGGAGGGCCAGCCACACAGACAGACAGACAGACAGACAGACAAAGACGGACAGACAAAGAAAGACAGAGACATAGCAAACGCCCACACACACACACACACACACACACACACACACACACACACACACACACACACACACACACACACACACACACACACACACACACACACACACACACACACACACACACACACACACACACACACACACACACACACACACACACACACACACACACACACACAACAAACGCACATCTGGCCGAGGCTGGGCGCCTTCTTGCCGTTCTTTGAGTAGTTTGGGCCGATGCGAACACGGAACTCGTGTCCATCCCCGTTCTGCCACACATTCTCGCCGTCCCTCTGCTCATACAAAGGGCAGAAACGAAGGTGGGGACAAAGAACAGAGAGGGGGGAGGGAAGAGGGGTGGCCAGTCAATCACCATGGAAGATCCATAGCACACACACACACACACACACATACATACACACACACACACACACACACACACACACACACACACATACATACACACATACATCGGTGGCGCTGGCGAGCGTCGTCGCCGACATGAAGATGTCATCCGCCTCTGCCGGCATTGCGGTCATGTGTGCGCGTGTGTATGTGTGTGTGTGTGCGTGTGTGTGTGCGTGTGTATGTGCGTCCGAGTTGTTGTTGGTGTGATAGTGTGATGTGAGACCACGGCCTGACTGTGTTGTTGTTTGTCTCCAGCAATCGTCTTCTTCCTCCTCTTTCTCTTCTGTGTGTTTCTATCTTTGGCTGACGACGAAAATCATCACGAACAGGAGCGAGCACAGGATGGGGTGGTGGTGGTGTGACTGTGACAACACGACCACGCACTTGCACTCCTTCCAACCCCACCCCTCTTCCCTTTCCTCTTTGACCTGCATTGCTTGGTTGTCTTCAATGGATACACACACACACACACATACACAACAAACCAACAGCGATCTGAAACGAAGAGAACCGTGTACACAGAAGACTTGTTGTGGATAGCAACAGCAGCGAACAAGAGAGTGGGTGGATGGTGTGTTGGGCGGGGGTGGTGGTGTGGGTGTAGAGGGGGGTTGAATGGCGGCACGAGCCAGTGTGTGTGAGAGAGAGAGAGAAGGAATGTGAACTGATGAGAGCACAAGCGGCAGGCGTGTGCCATGAAGTAGATGTAAGCTGTTGGCGTTCTTTGGAGGATGGTGGGGCCTGGCTGCAGGCGATGCGTCTAGTCTGATGATGTCTTTGTTTCGTCGCGCTCGGCCTGGGCCCTCATTGCGGCCTCCTCGGCCTTGGCCTGCAGGTCAGCCATCGTCCGCTGCGCCGCCTCGCGCGTGTAAAACGCATCCAGCGTCTAATGGTGGTGATGTGACGGTTCACAAGAGAAAAGAGAGAGACAGAGAGAGAGGTTGTGAGATGGATAGTTATCTCACCGAAGCAACATGTGTGTGCGTGTGCGTTTGTATTTGCATTTGCATTTGTGTGTGCGCGTGTTTGTATTTGTATTTGTATTTGTATTTGTATTTGTATTTGTATTTGTATGCGGAGTATTTGTATTTGTATTTGTGTGTGTGTGTGTGTGTGTGTGTGTGTGTGTGTGTGTGTGTGTGTGTGTGTGTGTGTGTGTACCTTTGGCCCGATGCGCTTGAGCATCTCCTTGGGGAAGAGGCGCAGGAGCTCCCAGCCCTTCTCCAGCGACTGGAACACCGTCCGGTTCTCATACGGACCTGCAACAGCACAAGCACACACGAAGCCAGAGGTGGCGGGGCGTGGATGGGGCAGAAGGCGTTTGAACGACACACGAAATGAACAGGCTCGAGGTGAGAAGGGGAGATGAAGTTGCCATTACACCACAATAATAACACCATGCCACCACCGCCACCACCACCACCGGCACAATCACGCTGCATGCCTCACCCTGGCTGATAAAGTGCCGCTCAAACTTCTCGAGAAACTCGAGGTAGAGGAGATCCTCGGAGGTGAGCGCCTCCTCGCCAACAACAGCCTTCATTGCCTGCACATCCTTGCCAATCGCATAGCACGCATACAGCTGGTTGCTAACGTCGCCGTGGTCCTTACGCGTCATGCCCTCGCCTGCACCGCAGCAACCAAACAAGCCGAGGGGAAAGCAGGTGACGCAGTGAGAGGGTGTAGAAGCAGGGACAGCGGTGGTGGTGGTGGTGGTGGTGGGCAACACAAGCGGAAAAGAACATTTTCCAGACGCAATTGGCAATAGGAAGAGCACCGTGCAGTGCACACCACAACACCACACAACACAACACAACACAACACAGCACAGCACAGCACAGCACAGCACAACACAACACAACACCACACAGCACAACACAGCACAGCACAACACACCACAACACAACACACAAACACACCACAACACAACACAGCATCACATCACAGTGGCAACGGGGGCCGCACCGATGGCGCTCTTCATGAGACGGGAGAGGGAGGGGAGGACGTTGATGGGCGGGGAAATCTGGCGGTTGTGCAGCTGGCGGTCGACGTAGATCTGGCCCTCCGTGATGTAGCCCGTCAAATCAGGGATGGGATGTGTAATGTCTACAGCAGCAGAAAGAAGGGGGGGGGGGTTCGTTACACAGCGGAACATTGGGAACAACACGGGCGAGAGAGTGGTAGCGACACATCACAGCTGTTGTTGTTGTTGTTGTTGTTCACGACAGCAATCTTCCCTCGCTCGAGCACGCTTGACTTGACCAACAAGACTGACCGTCGTTTGGCATGGTGAGGATGGGAATCTGTGTGATGGAGCCGTTGCGGCCCTCAACACGGCCCGCGCGCTCGTAGATGGTCGCAAGATCGGTGTACATGTAACCGGGGAAACCGCGGCGGCCTGAAAACCCACAACGGCAGTGGCGGTGGTCGCGGTGGTGGTGGAAGCGGGGTGAATGAACTCATGATGATGGAAAAAGGCAGAGTACTGTGCATCCCAACACACTCTCGCAACAAGCGCTGCTGTCAACGCAAACCACATCGCACGCCCACATGCATGCATGCACGAACACACGAGTGCGAGTGCACGACCTCAAACAACCACCATCACCACCACCATCACAATTATCATTGCCACCACCACCACCACCACCACCACCATGTATTACCTGGGACCTCCTCGCGAGCGGCAGAGACCTCACGAAGGGCTTCGGCGTAGGAGCTCATGTCCGTCAGGATGACAAGGACGTGCTTCTCGCACTGGTAGGCAAGGTACTCCGCGGTGGTCAGGGCAAGGCGGGGCGTGATGATGCGCTCAATCGTCGGGTCGTTGGCCAAGTTCAGGAACAGCGACACCCTGCCACACACACACACATACGCAGCACACGACCGGTGAGGACATCACACCATTCACCGTGGGCCACCAGCCAGCCACAACACAACACGACAAGCAGCATCATCTACCACCACACGCAACACCATCACCACTGTTGTAACCGTCACCACCACCACCATGGTCATCAAAGTCTCCCCGAGGTCGTGATTGCATGGTGCGCACCTCTCCATGGACCCGTTCTCCTCAAAGTCCTGCTTGAAGAAGCGGGCTGTCTCCATGTTGACTCCCATGGCCGCAAACACAATGGCAAAGTTGTCCTCGTGGTTGTCCATCACGCTCTTGCCCGTGTTCTGCTTGACAAGACCGGCCTGGCGGCAAATCTGCGCTGCAATGTCGTTGTGGGGGAGACCAGCGGCAGAGAAGATGGGAATCTTCTGCCCGCGCGCAATACTGGCAGCGGCAAGCGTGCAAGTGAACGCCATGGTGATGGTGGAGAGGGTGCACGTGAGGGGAGGTGATGAATGCGGTGGTGGTGGCAGAAAAGGGGAGGGTGCGGTCCGTGCATGTGAGAAGTCAATGAAAACGAGCAAACCACAAACAACAGACGACAACAACAAGCTCAGCCGCACTGCAGTACTGCACACACACACACACGCACACACACAGAGAGGTGCGGAGGAGAGGTGGCACGCACCTGTTCATGACGTCAATGGCGGAGATACCGGTCTGAATCATCTCCTTGGGGTACAGGCGCGTGTACGGGTTGATGGGCTGACCCTCAATGTCAAGGAAGTCCTCAGCAAGCACACGTGGACCTACGATGAAGCAGCAGCGGCAGCAGCAGCAGTCGTCGTGCATGAGCGGTCGTTGAGGCGAATCACATCGTGGATGCAAATTTGTGAAGAGAAAAGAAAATGACCACACACACAACACACAAGGCACACACAGACAACACATACAACACACACACACACATACACACACAACACACACGACATACACGAGACACACACAACACATACAACACACACACGACGCACCGTTGTCGATGGCCTTGCCGCTGCCATCGAAGACGCGACCAAGCATGTCCTCGGAGACGGGGGTGCGGAGAATGTCGCCAGAGAACTCACACACAGTGTTCTTGGCATCAATGCCTGCACCGCACGGCAAAAAGACAGTCACGTCAGACCAACGCGTGCCAACAACCACTAACCACCATGAGACACATTGGGGACGTCCACTGTGCATGTGGAAACAGCAAGAGGCATTTGGGACGCACCTGATGTGCCCTCAAACACCTGCACGACGGCGCGCTTGCCAGACACCTCAAGCACCTGCAGCCACACCAAACCAACAACATGCATCAAACGTGGTGGTGGTGGTGTAGTTGTTGTTGAGGCGATGGGCGTGAGCCGGTATGTCGGATTGCAAGCACTGACAACACACATAACCCGCAATCACAAGTGTCTGCATCCGGGAATCATAGCACCTGGCCGCTGCGGATGGTGCCATCGGACAGGCGAAGGTTGACAATCTCGGAGAACTTGGGGAACTTGACATTGTCCAGCACAACCAGAGGACCGTTGACGGCCGTCACGGTGCGGTATGCTGGATGGTTGCAGAACGGGAAACATGAACCACACGGAGAGCGGAGGAGTCGACAACAAAACAGCTGGGGGGGATGGAGCACACTACATGCCTGCTCCTCCTCTCTGTCTCTGTCTGTCTCTGACGCTCTCTGCTCTCTGTCACTTTGTTTTCCATCTCTCTCTTCTCTTCTCTCTCTCTCTCTCTCTCTCTCTCTGGTGTCAGGGAACACTAGCGCCCCTATAACCGTACTCCCTTCAACCAGTCAATGCGGCTGGAACACACTCCGGCTAGTGCAGGTATGGACAGCCACGAGCGTAAATAGGGAGCGGCCAATCTCTCTCTCTCTCTCTCTCTCTCTCTCTCTCTCTCTCTCTCTCTCTCTCTCTCTCTCTCTCTCTCTCTCTCTCTCTCTCTCTCTCTCTCTCTCTCTCTCTCTCTCTCTCTCTCTGTGTGTGTGTGTGTGTGTGTCACACACAATCACACACGCACACACAACCACCACACAATCACACTGACCAAGGCGTGGCTGTGCGATGTAATCACGGACAACAGCCTCCGCGTGGCAGCGGGCAGCATCTGTGGAAGTCAGGGACATGGTGGACCAGTCTATTGTCGTTGCGTCGTGGTTTGGTGTTGGTGTTGTCGCGCGTGCGTGGTGAGCGAAGATGTGAGGGCAAGATAAGCACAGCAAGCACCGTGATTGTGGTTGTGACGTGTGTTGTGAGAATGTGATTGTGGTTGCAGCTTTATTTATTGCTGAGTGCGCACTCTGGAAGGGAGAAGCAAGCCGCCGAGCTACAACTGTGTGCAGTACCACCAAATATAGCTCTGCCTCCGCCTCTCCAACAACAGCGCACACAGGGAGCAAGCCATGGGCCCCTCCACACACCTTGTTGTGGTTGATGGAGACAGGGGAAGGGGTGGAAGCGTGGGCGATATGTGGAGCAAAAGGAGATGAACAAGCCCTGTGTGCTGCTGTGCGGTGTTTGCGCTTCCTCCAAAGTGGACGATTGGCGAATATCTTCAAAGACACCTCCCAAGCAAGGGATCTGGGAAACTTTGCCTTTGTGAACGAACGACAAGGTCAAAATTGCTTTTGGGCATTACCCTCAACTTTTCTTCTTTTTTTTTGTATTGTTGCAGAGAGAGTTGTGAGTCATCGCCATTGCTTGGGCCCGTTGCACACGGCAAAACTCGAACACAAACGACGACGAAGAAAGAGCAAGCAGGAGAACGCGGTGAGTGGGATGGATGGTGGATGGTGTGAGGAAGAAGGCAAGGGGGGATGGCATGGTGGAAGAGCAAAAGGTTGCGGCTTTGTGTGGGCTTTGGTGACAGGGAGAGATCAGCAAGCTCACACCCGTGTTGTCTGCAAAACAGGCTGGCATCATGAGCGACTGGACAGACAACCCGTTTGCACAGGGCGATGACAACGCCGACAATCCGTTCAGTGACCCCTCGGTATGCATCGTGTGTCGTGCGTGCGTGCGTGTGTGTGTGAATGTGTGCGTGCGTGCGCGTGTGTGTGTGTGTGTGTGGGTGGGTGGGTGTGTGTGGGTGGGTGTGTGTGTGTTGTGCGTATGCTCTGTGTGTGTGTGTGTTGGAATGGACGCCAACCTCATGTGCGCACATGTGCAAAGCCTGTCCTGACACGGATGAATGTGCGATATGACTGTGGGTGTTTGTGGTGCATGTTCTCAGGTGACTGGAGCACAGACAAAAGTGCCCGAGTACAACCCGTTTGATCAACCAAAGGTGCGCTTCTCATGCGCACATGGAGGCGTGCGTGGAGAGTGTGTGTGTGTATGTGTGTGAATCTGTTTCATGTGACAGCATCATGTGTGACAAACAAAACAATGCTGAAAGGAAGAGTGGCTTTTCGAACACATTCACTCACACACACACATACACATTCATTCACACGCACATACGCACACGCATACACACACACACTCTCTCTCTCGCACCAATGTCGCCTGCGTGTAGACATCTGATGTGAACCCCAACAGTCCAACGGCAACGACGACGGCTGCGGCGGCAACCACGTCTTCGTCATCGACCAATGCGGCCGTGTTTGGCTCCTCTTCACCAGAGCCCGCCACCATGCAGCCCTCGCAGCCTGCACAGGACTCCAGCAGCACCGATGCAGACGTTCGTGTGCTTCTGTGTGTGTCTTTGTCTGTGCGTCTTGTCTGTGGCTGTGGCTGTGGCTGTGTCTGTGTCTTTGATTGCTCCTTCAATGTCTTTTCTCCCTCCCCCTCCCAATGTACCTGTGCCACACCCCTCATTGACCTCGATGCATTCTTCCATCTCCGCCTGTTCTCCCTCTCATCTGCATCCTCTCACGTCCATCTTCGTGGTGCTTGTGCGCTGAGTAG